TGTCAGTGATGAAGCTGCACTTCATCTGAACCATGTCGGAAACATGTTAATGATGAAGCTGCACTTCATCTGAACCATGTCGGAAACATGTCCGTGATGAAGCTGCACTTCATCTGAACCATGTTGGAAACATGTCAGTGATGAAGCTGCACTTCATCTGAACCATTTTGGAAACATGTCAGTGATGAAGCTGCACTTCATCTGAACCGTGTCGGAAACATGTCAGTGATGAAGCTGCACTTCATCTGAACCATGTCGGAAACATGTCAGTGATGAAGCTGCACTTCATCTGAACCATGTCGGAAACATGTCAGTGATGAAGCTGCACTTCATCTGAACCATGTCAGAAACATGTCAGTGATGAAGCTGCACTTCATCTGAACCATGTCGGAAACATGTCAGTGATGAAGCTGCACTTCATCTGAACCATGTCAGAAACATGTCAGTGACAAAGCTGCACTTCATCTGAATCATGTCAGAAACATGTCAGTGATGAAGCTGCACTTCATCTGAACCATGTTGGAAACATGTCAGTGATGAAGCTGCACTTCATCTGAACCACGTCAGAAACATGTCAGTGATGAAGCTGCACTTCATCTGAACCATGTCGGAAACATGTCATTGATTTTAACGTAAATACGAGTGGAGTAAATTAGCAACATGAAGATCGTCGGAGATACAGCACAAACTTTTCTAAGTAAATTAAGACGGTTCTTATTCATAAACAGAATTATACCAGTACATTTTCCTTAATCTGGCATATTGAACGGAGATCCGTGCGACCCGGAAGTATTCCTTTTAGCGCACGAACAGATGAGCAACACTACGGATCAGGTTCTGCAACAGATCGGGGAACGACAAGCAGCATTTGTGTTTTGTGGGAAACGGCCTGAATGTACCTTCTGTCATCACCTGAGCGTAGTTCTGGCCTCGAGCCTTCCTTTACTTTGCTCCTTCTCTTGATGGAAGAATCAGAGGTTTAGCCATATTTATCAAATATATGCCAAGAAAGAATAAACTAAAAGATGACTTTACTCTGCAGACGTGTTTGTCCACTTAATTTATTTCTGCTTCCAGCCTGCGTGAACCAAACGCAGCACGAGTTTACTTTACTGTGCATGTCCATTTGTTTAACAAGTTCAACGGTAGGGATGGGGCCGGTCCAGTATCTGTATCCGCCTCCGATACCAGCATAATTTACTTATCGGATTTTTCTAATCCAACCTGCAGAGATTTCCAATCCATGATGCATGTCTATGTCTGATGAAACTTCTCCACATGTGATTCCCTGCCGGCTGCTCTGCACAGTTGGCTTCAAACGATGGACTGGATTTCCTGAACGGAGGCGTGTCTCACGAGCCCAGACTAATAAGACCCGCCTCACATTCAGGAAATCCAGTTCATAGTTTGCAGCAGCTACAACGTGAGTAAACGCTCTCTATACGACTCTGCTGAGCACTGAGCCAGTGTTGCCAGATTGGGCGGTTTTCATTCTGATTTTGCAGGTAAAAATTACTTTGGGCAGGTGGGGATAATTTGGGTGGATTTTGGAGTCAGATCGGCGGTTTTTGAGTTAACCTGTTAAACACATTTCAAACAGTCATTCATCATTACTGCTTCAAAGCTCCCCTGACCTTTCTCCATCACTGATTGGCTATTGCCATCTGCCAGAGCGTTCACAACAGAGAACTGGTGAGACAGTTTTAGTTGACGCCTCGTTGAGTGGGCTGGCCCGTTGTGGCGCGTCAGAGCGGCCGCCATATTGCATGTGGCAGAACTGCCGGTCAACTAATAAAGGAAATGCACTGAACTTTATAAAGCACCATTCTGCAAAGTGTTTTGTGTTAATGCCTGTCATTCACACACACCAATATATTTGGAAAACGAACAGACACCAAATACAACATTTATAACTTTTAAAGTGATTATTAAAAATGTTCACTCCTAAAATATTTAGGTTAAAGGTAAGCACTAAACCAACATACATATTCTTGACTGTTTACAATTACTAATGTGTGTAACACTTACTGTGGTGATAAATATAAGAATATTCATATTGAAAATTATTCTGTGTCTATAATATAATATATAATAATATAACCAGATCCTGAAATGTGACATGTAGATTTTTTGTATAAAGAACACGAACATTCACATTTACAGGTCCTTCTCCAAAAATTAGCATATTGTGATAAAGGTCATTATTTTCCATAATGTAAT